TAAGAAAAGTTTCAGTCTTATCATAATAAATGTTATATACATTTAGGACATTTGAAGATATACAATACATAAAAAAAAGTCTTAATGACAAGTTTTACCATTTAGAGCAGTTGCCATGAATACAAAATTGGTCACTTATTACTTTTATTATTTGTGAACTGCCTAGAAGGACAAATATCTCTTCATTCATCAAAAGTTTTTTTTCTTACAATTAGTATTACACATATGATGTAGCAGACACCAGCTGTCCAGGTTAATTGAATTAGAAAACATTTTGTTGTCTGCCGTTCCATTTCATTTTCTTCTGGTTTTATTTTTCTCTGTATTAGCACTACATTTCCACTCAAGACTGGTATTTTGTTCACACTTACACAGCCCTAAGTAACTGGTACTTTCTTATAGAATCTTTTCAACCAAATTATAAACTCAAGTTTCTTCAGTACTCTGGGTTTCTAGAAATGGAGATATATAATGATTAAAGGTTTCAGAGTTAATATTTGAGGACGTGACAACTTTCTTTAAGGATAGTTAATATTCTAGGCTTTTTCTTAGAGTGAAAAATTTCAAGGAACTAACCCTACACTGCAAGAGACTAAACATACATCTCTTATTGTAACTTTACAAACAAAAATCAGATTGATGAAGATCATCAAACAAACTTTGGAACACTTACATCTCAAAAGTTTTCAAAAGTGACATCTTGTACACACATAAAAAAACATTAAAAACTTCCTGGTTCATAAAATTGATTAGTTTTAGTATGTTAGTGATTTGCCTATAGACACAAGGATCATGTATGATATTATTACATCAGTAGGTTTAGATTGAAATTTGGGTATACAAGCATAACGTTTCATTTACATTTAGAAGGAGTTAAATTTTTAGTATTTCAGGGATTGAAAGCCTGTATGTAGCAAAACATTTTTTCAAACAATGACAAAATTTTTCTTATAAAGAGAGAAGATACAAAACTGTAGTTTTCAAACATTTAACAAGAAGATGTTGCATATAAAATCTCCCTTTTTTGTGAACAGCTGTAATTTAGTGTGAAACTTGCATTATTGGTGACTTAACATTCAACTGATCCTTGTGTTTGGTTGTGGTAATTGTAGTTGTATTAAAAAGTATTAGGTGTAACAGTAAGGTGAACTGTACCATATGTTAGTTATTTAATAATTTATGTATTAAATATACTTCAAAAAACTGTTGGGGTAAGCATAGAGCAAGAAGATATGGCTGCTTGTTTTTTGTATAAAATGTTTATTTTAAATTTGTCAGGATAACTAAGAGTATAAGCATTATTATAGTTTATTTTATTTTATTTTTTTGAATTTCAGTCTTAAGTTTTGCTTCTTGAATTTACAATTGGATTTTTGTATACCAGGTCAGGACAGGCTTCAGTTATATCTGTTGTTACTGTATGTTTACAGTTGATTCAGCTTTTTTTCTTAATGAACTGTTTATTTTTTAGTTTTATCACCTACTCCACCAGGACAAATGGCAGCTGCTGCAAATGCAGGTTATGAAATTCCTGCAAGACTGCGTACCTTACATAACCTTGTGATCCAGTATGCTTCTCAAGGTCGTTATGAAGTGGCTGTTCCCCTTTGTAAACAAGCATTAGAGGACCTGGAAAAAACAAGTGGGCATGACCATCCTGATGTAGCTACAATGCTCAATATTTTAGCTCTTGTCTATAGGTAATAATTTTATGGTATCAGTTTTATTGTTGTTCTTTGTATACTTTCATTCAACAACACTCAATTTAATGACACTTGTATATGTTATCTTTCTTGTGTTATTGTTATTCCTTTCTACAATATTCATTGTGACAACTTTTGAGTTTATGTATCAATCTTATGCTATCATTCTTGTCATGATTTCTTGTATTAACCAGTGCTCACATGATTTACTATAAGTGACAACTAGTTAAATGGTTCATAAAGGGGATGGAAATGCTTGAAAAAGCATGAATTTATCTTGTCTAAGCACAGAATTGCACTAAATTCATTGATTGGAGTGTTGTATTAAAACCCACAATTTAGTTAAATATAAAAGCACAGTACATAATAATATTAATACAGTACAATGTAACAACATCAAGGTTATTTAAATAGTTACAGATACAAGAAATATACAACACTCAAATGTATTCACTGAAAATGTCTTTGATAAAGAAAAACAATTTTTTTTTCTAGTACAAATATTTAAACTTCTTTTTGATTCACTGAATACACATTCACTGCCAATAATTTTTCCTTAACATTTGAGTTACTTCCAGGAGAGAACCTGACACAATTTTGTAAAATTTCAAAGAGCAATCACACTGCCATACTTCTTCTGAGTGGCTATTAGTAATGTGATCCTGTCTGCCTTTCACTTAACTATATGGGAATGAAGTGGTTAACCAGTTACAAGAAAGTATGAAAATTGTGTGTGTAGCCCACTTTGCAATGCCATCATGTTAATATGTTAATCATGTTAATTGAAATAATAGTTTTTTATATTAAAAGATAAATGAAGAGAAATAAAACTGATTTAAAAAACATATCTTAACTCGTTTTTTTATGGTGACCCTTTTCTGCGTATGTCACAAAATTTTATTTAGTTGCATGTAAAATTTAATTAAGCTATTTTATAATCAGTGTTTGTCAATGAAATCAACATTAAAATTTATATAGTTCTAAGTTTTAATTCCTTTATTTCAAAAGAAACCTTAAAGAAAAATTCTTAAAGTTTTGTTTTATTCTCTTGTGCTCTGCAAGTTCAGAAAATCTTCAGTTTGTGTCTTTGTAATTTTAACAGTTTTTGACTCAAGCTAACCTTCTATTTATAAAATGAATCTAAGTTAATTGCTCTGTTTACACATTCTTCTTTCAAGTTCCATAGAGCACTTTGTACACTTAGAGTTGTGATTTCTCAGCCAATTATACTTAATTGAGCTTGTTGTTTATAACCAATAGAAAGAGTGCTTTTTGAGGTTTATTCCCTTAACTCTTATTTTAAAATTGGTGCAAAGAATTATATAGAGAACTAGTCAAACTGTTCTTAGCATTGTTGCTGCTTTGTCCCTGCCATTTTAGCATTATTTCTCACCTAGAAATATGTTAGTTAGACAGACAGTTGCATTGTATTTAGGTTTTAGTTGTACATTTTATTTAATTATGTGTAATTTATGTTTTAAGATGCATATTTGAAAGGTTTGATAATTTTTTTATATAAGCCAGTACCTGCTTGGTTTACAGGGGAAAGTGTAATATGTGAACACCACCACGTTCTGCTGAGAGCTAAAGTTTCTTAGCCCACTACATAGTAATATTGGAAATGATGTCCATTGACATGTGTTGTGATAAATAATTGTGCTAAAGAACAGGAAAGGATAATAAATTATATGTGAAAATGTAAAAGACATACAAAGAAGTTGTTTTAAGATTATTTTGTGAAATATTAAATATGTACATTATTCCTATGTCTTAATTTTAAACATGTCATTGTAATGTACTATAGACTATACAGTACAAGTTGATGATAATAGTTACAGTTAGTAATATCATAGAGACGATGAAAAAAAAAAATATAATCATTTAACTTAAAAAAATCTTTTGATATTCACTTTGCAGGTTGTAGGGGTTATGCAAATGAAATTTGAAATCTATAAGTTGGAAAAAAGTATTTTTTACACTTGTGTGTGTGTTTTAAACTTAAATTTTGTCCAAGATGCTACTCCTAAAGATTTCACCAAATTTGATAGAGATCGTACAGTTATGTTATATAGTGTTAAACCTGTGTATATTTAAGGTCAAATTATCAGGTATTTTTCAGGTATGCTTATGGGACAGATGTGTGTTGGTTGATCTGATAGTGGCATGGAAAAATGCTTTATTAGCATGGATTTGCAAAGTTGTAGAAACCGTTTAGCTAATACTATTCTTATTGTGGTTTCTTGTCCAATCAAGTGTTGCAATACTCATCCATATGTCTAGGTCAAAAGTCTTTGATATTATTCTCGTTATCCTGGAGTTTCAGTATCCAATATCAGGACAACTGTGTATAGCTAATAATTTTATCTTTCTTGTTGTGGTTTCTTGTTCCACAATACCCTTTATTATGACAGTTGTCTAAAGGTAAGTTTCTAGCTTAACTCATTTATTGTAGTTTATTTTATAACTTACAGTACTTGTTATCAGGAAACTGGTATTAATCATTTTGGATTTCTTTGGAGAATTCTCAGTATTTTCCCCACTTGTTTATAGGTTTTATATTTTTCCTTTTATGGTTCCTTGGATTACTCATTTATACACTATCCAATATTTGGCTCTTATGTTTTGGTACATATATCATTTTTTTTTTTTTCTTGTATAATCCTGTTAAGTATTGTGATGGACTTTGCTAAAATACTTCTTTAAAAAATCAAAGCAATGACGATAACAGATTTAAAAAATATGCTATGTTGATTGAAACAGTGTGCTGAGTAAATAGTTAGTTGAAATAATGAATCAAGTCACACACAGTTAAAACTAATTGTGTAAAACAATGAATCTATAATTTTTATAATAAATTATGTGGAACACAACCAAGTCTATTAGAAATTGAATTGAAACTTTTAATCAAATCACATTGATTTATGGTTACTTGTGTTAAAACTTCATGAACTTGTACATTTACAGGGATCAGAACAAGTACAAAGAGGCAGCAAATCTATTAAATGATGCTCTGGCCATCAGAGAGAAAACGCTGGGAGAGAATCATCCTGCAGTAAGTAAATTTGGAAGATAATATTGTCATTAACATACTATTTTGACCAATGTAGTTTCTTTCACTTATTTGGAGTAAATGTAATTTTATAATAATATTACATTAAATAATTACACTTAAGTTTAAATACAGACAAATGTTTCAATCTTTGTTGGGGTAATTTTACATATTGGAATTCTTGTGAGTCGTAGCAAAAAACACAGCATGTAATAATTTTTTATTTTAATCGAATTATAATAAAAGCTAGTAAAGAATTAATGTTTCTGATACAATATCTTATCTCCACTCACAAAACAGCTTTCCTCAATTTGTACTGCCCTCTATGTGTTAAAATTTTTGGCCTCTACTAGCCTTTATACTCCCACTAACTTCCATGTGTTTTTCCATGTGGTGTTAGCTGTATTGTAGCATGCAAATAAGTATGTGACAACTGTTCATCAACAGGAGTATGACACACCCTCCTATTTTTGCCCAGAATTTGTGTTCTGGAGTCAGCATGCCGAGCCCCCCATGCATGCCTGACGCTCATGCTTTCTTGACTCTTTGAAATTGAAAGTGGAATCCTCCAATTTGCATACTTCCCACTCCTTTCTAGCCACTTGTTTGTCACAATCTTCTTCTGCTTTTGTTCCTGTATCCTAACCAAATCCTTCATCTTCCTTACCTCTTCCTTTCTCACAGGTTGCACCTTCACAGTGTACTATTGTTCACTGCCAGCCTGCATGACACCAATGGTATAGGTGACTATACTGTGGGTTCAGGTCCATTAGGGGCCAGTCTATTTCTTTTTGTGAATGTTTAGGAGTGATTTACCTCTGACCCTTGGGTTCTTTGGGTCTTATCAGAAAGACTCCTTTCATTTCCTTTCTCCACCAACCTTGTTCCTTTTTCCTGTTCCTTTCTCCCCTCCTGGGGATCTTTGTCCAGCTTTCATCTTTCTGTAGTGGCTCAAGATCTTCTCTTCTAGGATGCTACAGAACCAGTAGTTCCTACTTTTCCTGGTTTCTATTTCTGTCCAAGACAACTGGGAATTTGCATCCTGTTATCAATCTCTCCTATTCGATTTGCTGTTTGGAAGTTCCTCAGTTTGGGCTTTTACTCCAGGTTATTGGATGACGAAGTTTGACATTTCAGATGCTTACCTCCATATCCCCCATTTCCCCAGCATCCCATTGTTATATTTGCTTCATCTACAGGGACTGTATATATTTGTTCTGGGTTCTCCCTTTTGGGCTGGCCTTGGCTCCCTACATTTTTTATCAAGTGATCAAAGTCTTCCTCTGACTTCTTCATTTCCATGAAGACATGGATGACTGGCTACTTCTAGCTCTGTGGCTTTCTGCCTCTTCCATCAACATGCAGTTTCTTCTTAAGGAAGCTGTGTGGGTGGGTGGGCTTGTCAAGGTGGAGAAGTTCATTCTCACACCAACTCAATACCTAGTTCATCTTGTTGTATTTTTCAATCCCATCTCAGTTGGGCCCAGCCTTCTCCCCCTCTGACTGCATTCCATGGAGCTTATGATTTGAAAGTTGCAATCCTCACCTTTTCTTCCTGTGGAGAGGATCTTTCTCTTTTGGGGACTTAGGCTTCCTTAGAGGCTCTTATTCTCCTTGACTATGCTCACATGTAGTCTCTTCAGTGGGTCCTTCAAGATCAGTGGAACTTTACCAGAGATCCCCTGAATTATCCAGTATCCCTTCCTCCATACTGATTTTGCCTGGTGGCTGGGCAGGAACAACATATTGGCTGATGTCCCTCTTTTTCTGCCATGACTAGAATTACATCTTTTTACAGATGCTTTGTTCTTTTCATCTCTATTGTCCTCCTACATCTACTCCCTTGCCATATTGGGATCTAAACATGGTCCTCCATGCCATTTCCCTACTTCCATTTGAAACTTTGGCTTTCTGACGTCTATATTATTATCACCTATCCTTGAAAACCTTTTTCCTCCTATTGTTAGCTTGTGGATGTCAAAGGTTGGATGCATTTGCCATGAATGCATCTGTAATAACTGTAACTTTGTCCTCCTTTATCCTGATTGTACCTTCCTACCTAAAGCCTTTGCTGCATGTGAAGGTAATGTTGCCTTCACTCCTATTTTCCTTCCTTCCATTTCCCATATTTATTCCCATTCTGATCCTGACTGTCTCCTGTGTCCAGTCAGGTTTCTATGGTGTTATGTAGCTCACATCTCTCCTTTCCATGGTTCCTGTTCTAGATTGTTTATACACTGGAATCCTTCAATATCTTCTGACCTTTCTCATATTACCCTGACTGGTTGGGTTCAACAATACATCTATAGCCTATTTCTCCTTGTCTCCTGACCTCTTTTCCATGTCTTCACTCATCAGATTCATCGCCTAACAATATCTTTGGCTAGCGCTGGGATGGTGGACCATGAAGGCTTCCTCTTGAGTATGTTCAATTTCACTCAGTTGATAGTAGGGTGGTGACTATCTTCCTACTGCAGTTCTGATGTACAATTCCAGATGCTGTACAGTGTGGACTGGATTTTTCCATTACATTAGTATATGCAGTTTACCCCTCTGACTGGGAACCCTACTTCCTACCACTGGCAGGAAGTTGGTTCCTTAGTGACTAGTGCTGGTTGGAGCCAGACCAGTCAAAATACATCCTTATATGTGAGTGGGAGGGGTACAGGTGTTGGTCATGTTGGTTATGCACACATGATGGCTTGGGTTCTTGGAATGGAAATACTTCTTTCCTTCTGGTTTGTGGTTCCTCTTACTGTGGGCTGATTCATCCAATCTTGGTGCTGCTAGTTTTGGACTGGAGTTGACCTCCCACTTACAGTTTGACATGCTATAGCTACTCTACACCAATGGCACTTTTTCGGATGTGCCTCATTTTTCAACACATTCATTCATCTTGGGTGAAGAGTATACTTGGTTCAGAGGTGGTTCGCTGTCCCACGTGTGTGTTTCCTCTACATTGAGATATCACTCTCCTTGAGTCCTGTTGAGATGCTTTCTGGGGGAGACTCATCTACATAACTTTTACATTGGCCCCTCCATTGGGTCAATATGGAATTCTAGCTGTTTTGTGTGCTGAAGTAAATTATCATGCTGGAAGTTAACGTTTTCCTAAACCAAAAATATATTTCTGATAGTTACATACTTCTTCTCACACTTCCTACCCATTCTTCCCAATTCCAGTGTATTTGTTGTGTCTAATTTCCAAGTGAAGATTAGGTTCTACTGCATAGATTGAGTCAGCTGCACCAGGAGGGTTGTTGCATGCTTGTTTGCATGGTACAGTGCAGCTACACCATGTGGAAAGGGTAACATTTCAGTACATTTGCATGAATCTCTATCAGGTCCATAGTTATGTAAGATTGTTAAACTAAGTTTTGATTATGCAGTTATTTACTGGTTGATGGCCTAGTTCTTAATGCTGATTTTAACATTATAGACTTAGTGTATGGCTTATAAGTAGTAGGACCTGCATTACATTAAATTAGAAATTCCCAATAATATTTTTGATTTCCTGTTGGTTTTCTGTTTTTAAAGTGGAATGTGTTGTTTATTGTTCTGTTTTATTAAGTATTTGCTATGTCAACTAAATAGTAGGTGTTACTGTCTATAATGTGCACTGTATTTATGACATGTCCCATAGTATCAGAAAGATTGGATTTCACAGTAATATTTTTGATTTATTGTCAGATTGTAACAGTTTCCTCTTTGTGTGAACCTCTTGAGGAATAGAAAGTGCCATAAATAGTCACTATGAATTTTAATAGTCTGAAGTTTATTTAATATGTGTTAAAGAGTTTAATTTCTTATAGTAGGCTTATTTGTTTAGCAAATTCACAGACCTGCCTTTCTTATCCATCATAAAATTGTGAATTTCTCAAAACTCCCTTTGGACTGATTGCTGGTATTATAGTATTTAAAAGCTAAGTGTGTTTAACTTACAAGTTACTGCTACTAATTTTTTACTTGATTATGTAGAGGGATGTTTGCAACCTATGATAACAACTTGTATATTTAATCACCATGTTCCTAGCTATTGCCATGACCTGTGACTAAACAGGTTAAAAGGCCCTGACTCTTTTGCTGCAACTTAGCTGTGTTGCAGTTTATTTTGTAAACACAGGTAGCACCTGCAACTTACCCCTTCTACAGAGGTTATATTATAGGGCTTTCTGACAAACATCTCCTCTTTCTTGATTATAAAAGTGTACAAGGCATGAAATTTTAACATTTCAGAGAAAGGAATTTTTGTAGTTTTGAATTGTGTTAATAAAGTAGGAGAAGGCATTATTCTAGTAGGTAAAAAACAGGCTATTCAGTGGCCAGCTACCTGTTGCACACTGGGAGTAAAGATAAATAGCTTGTTATTGTAATTAACTTTAGAAGATAGCAGTCCATTACAGTTAAAGTTCTCCAAAAATGCACAACTAAATGGAAGACCATATGTTAAAAGCTGTACAAGTGGTATCTGGCACGTGACAAATGTCATCACAATGAACAAGACTTATGTCTGTAAAAACCTTGGCAAATTATTATCATACTTCCAGTGATATAGTGTATGAAAAGTGGTTGATTGTATGTTGCAAAACCACTGTGCTGTAAGAAACAACAAATATATTAATTTTATTTTTGTATGGAATGGATGATAATAAAGTATGATTTCCTGAAGACAAAGCATCCATCCACACACATATACGTCAGCATGCCAGTTTTTCTGCAAGGTGTAAGTACAAATGAAAATTCATGCTATACCTTTCATAGACTTGAACTCTTTGGCCTTTGGATTGCTTAAACAGACTCTTGGAAATTGTCCATGTAGTGTATGGTTGATGGACTTTGGAAAATGTAAAGAGAAAGGGAAAAGTATTCACCTCAATAACTTGTTCAAAAGTTTCCTGCTTTGGAAATTGTTCTGCAGAGCAATATTTCTTGGTCAGGACCATCACACAGAATGCAGTTGGTGGTGGAAGAAAGGGCTGTAAGGCCTAGGTGATCATCATCATATTGTTACCATAGGTAGTTTACCCTTCTGTATGTTATTTCCATTTATTTTAGTTCTAATTAAAATACTTGGTTGTTTTACATTCACAAACATCTCTAATAATTTACTTGCTCATTTTCTGTCAAGTATCTCTTCAATTTTTGAGTACAGTTTGTTCTTCTGCTTTTAATATGTAAGGCTTCTTTAAATTTTCCTGATTTTCAATTATTATTATTTTTTTAAGCATTTTGGTAATGATTCCAGTCCATGCTGTGGCCTATGTTCATGAGCATACCCTGCAGTATCTTAAAATGTTAGGCTTTACTATCTGGATAACATTCTTGTTTCTTTTAATTTATTGTTTCAGATGTCATCAATTATCTCTATATAGGAACCACCATAAGAGTAGAAATTTTCAATTTTTACTATTTCAGATAGCTAGATTTAAAGAACTTGGTAGATTTCAAGAGTTTCAAAATGTAGCATTTAAACTCAAACTCTTACATCTACTTAAATGAAACTTGGGACACAATTAAAGAACATTTATAGAAATTTGTATTAAAAACATAGGTATTTTTGTGTCTGTTCTTTATTACTGCAAGGTTCTATTGTATTATGTGAAACTTTTGCCAAGAAGTGGCTAGAAGAAAAGGCTTTAGCCAGCATTCTTCCAGCTATCAGTTGGGCAGACAAATTTAGTTTCTTAAGGAATATAGTTTAAGGAAACATTCTAAAATTTACCTCAAACTGTTCAAGTTGAGTGAACTATGTAGATTTTGGAAATATGCTGCTACAAAGCATATGTTTCATGTGTTTAAATAGCAACTAATGAAAATAACTATCTATAATTTATTATCAACCATTTACAAAACATTTAATAAGCCTTTCTTTGTGTGCAAATTTGCACGAATGGATTGAAAACTAGCAGGAACGTGAGATGTCTCTCACTAAGACACCGTTGGTACTTTAATGCACTAAATCTAACAAAACAAAAGAGAAAGTAAAGGATTATGTAACTGAGATAGAATGTCATTCTTTCCATAAGATATCTAAGTATGTGCCTTCCATTAAATAAGCTTAACTATGTTTACATACAAATGGCATATCTTGAGATAAAAATATTTCCAGTTTCTTATCTAACAATTCTTTTCTATTTCTATATGTTTCACAGTTTAGGTTTTTGCATGGTTTTTCAGTTATTTCATTTCATTTCCTAAATGTGTTACAGTTTGTATTCAATTATTTTGATGAATTTTTTGTACTATTTTCAGGTGGCAGCAACACTCAATAACCTAGCTGTATTATATGGAAAGCGAGGAAAATACAAAGATGCTGAACCTCTGTGTAAAAGAGCATTACAAATAAGAGAAAGGGCAAGCATCAATTTCAATTACTAGACTCTAGATTGTAAAGGAAATAAACTTAATACATGATATTTTAACTACATGTAACAATAAAATGTGGAATTTAATGATGGTTTTAAAAGGTTTTGACTGCAGTTATTTCTGTACATAGCTTTATTTATTAAGATAATTTTTACTTAGAGAAAAGAAATGTATGAAAGAAATTAGAAAAAAAAATCTATAAAAAGTCACTTTTCTTCCAAATTGGTCATATGTTACATACTTTGTATTAAAACAAAGCTGACAGTGTTGTTCTCTGCAGGTTTTAGGGAAGGATCATCCTGATGTAGCAAAGCAGTTAAACAATTTGGCTCTCCTTTGTCAGAACCAAGGAAAGTATGATGAAGTGGAGAGATATTATCAACGAGCTTTGTCAATTTATGAACTCACTCTTGGTTCTGATGATCCAAATGTAGCGAAGACAAAGAATAATCTCGTAAGTCTTAGTGCTCATGATTCTGATATAAATAACAAGTAATCTTACCTGAAATGTCACTGATTATTCAAATATAACAAAAACACAGAGTAATCTTGTAAATGTTAGTGCTTAAGATCCTGATGTGAATCATGAAAAGTGTTATCAGTTCTGTTGCTGATGGTCCAGATTAACAAATAGAAAACAATTATAAATGTTAGTATTTACTATCTAAGTAAATATATACGTATTTTAGATAATATAATTATATTTATAGTTTAGATTTAAAAAAATAATAATTAATTTAGTAATGTATCTCATGTTATTACCTCTGCCACAGAAGGTGGACAGAGGTTATATTTTCGCCCCTGTGTGTTTGTTTGTGTATTTGTAAGCAATATTTCTGAAAAATGGCTAAATGGCTTTGGACAAAAGTTGATATACATTTGGACTATGACCCAACTTAGAAGTGATTAGTTTTTGGAGGGTTGAGGTCAAAGATCAAGGTCACAAAAATCCAAAACAAATTCTGTTAACATGGGGACTGATTTTTTACACTATTTTTGCTTTATAACTCAGTCAAAAATGATCAGATTTTTATGAAACTTGGTGGACACGAGTACAATATTATTCCTCATTATTCTGCCAAAAATGGTCCGTGTCCATTGATAATGACAGACATACGGACACATTTTTGTATATTTTTTCAGGGCCGAATTTGAGCAGCGCCACATGAAGGAGGTATGTGCTCTACTGAGTACCCATCTAGTTGAGAAGTGATTTTTTTTGGTGTCTAACTGATTTCTAAAAACAGTGTTATAAATTTCTGAGAATGAGTAAAAAACATTTTATTTTAGTGCATAAAAAATTGAATACTCAAGTTTATGTGATGAATATGCATTATTTTTGCTAAATCTCTATTATTTGTATGTTCAAGGCTTCAGCCTACTTAAAGGAAGGCAAATACAAGGAAGCAGAGATACTTTATAAACAAGTACTAACAAGAGCACATGAAAAAGAGTTTGGAAGCATCGGTGGTAAGTTACTACCACTAGGGATTTTATGTTTTGTTTCACTTTACATGTTTTTGTTTTCTACTACAGGTGTGTTATAATGAGGAGAAGGAATTTATAGTTTTGACAGCAGCAGTCTCAAAGTGTGATTTAAGTTGCTTCTCTTGAAATAGTCATTTTATGTTTTACTTTACACTTTTTTTGATTACTAGTTATTATAATGTGTGGAATAAGTTAATAGCCATGAATAATTTTATATTTAGTTTTACTCTATACCTTTTTTATAACACTGGTCACCATTAGGTGTTAAGCCTGAAGAATTTTATATTTAGTATTACTCTTTTTTTTTTATAACACTGGTCACCATTAGGTGTTAAGCCTGAAGAATTTTATGTTTAGTCTTTTTTACTCTGTACTTTTTTATAACACTGGACCATCATAAGGAGCTATGGTAAGCTTTTAAGTATGAAGAACTTTTATTTTATTGTATTTTATACTTATTGTTTTAAAAGTAGATCTCTACAGGTATAAAGGATTTTTGGACAAGAAGAAAAAAATGTTACTGTTAGAGCAATTTACTGATCCATTTTATGTAGAATAGAGAAAGCCTGTTTTGTTGTGTGGGAGAGAAAACTAAGTGAAAGGTAACTGTAAACAATTTACTATAAAAAATAATATAACTTGTACTATGTTTTATAGGAAAGAACTAACCAGTCTAGGAAGTTTTTGTAAACAATTTATTGTTGGAGATTATATATATATATTGAACTAAATGTGTGTTGTATAGGACAGATAAGCCAATCCACTAAATAACTTGGTACTGGAGATAATTAATATTTAACTGCCTGAATGTTGTATAGTAGAGGACATGTCATTTTGGCAAGTAGCTCTAGACACTTTAATGTTGGAGATAATATTGAACTATGTTGTATAGGAGAGAACAAGCCAATATGGCAAGTAGCAGAAGAAAGAGAGGAGAATAAAAGCAAATTAAAAGAAAATTTTCCATATCAGGAATATGGTGGTTGGCATAAAGCAGCAAAAGTTAACAGGTAAGTTAACCTAGTTAGGAATTCTAAGTGTACTAATAAAACCAAATATAGAACAGTAGCTATGATAACTTAATTATGAAGCTAACCTGCATGGAAATTCTAATTGTAATAACAAAATATAGATCAGTGGTACTAGGATTAAAGTTATCTAGAAATACAAACTGTAATAAACAAATGTAGTCAGTAGTCAGTAGTGGCAGGTAACTAAACCTGTCTAGAAATTCAAACTATAATAACCAAATGTACAGCAGTAGTAGCAGGTAACTAAACCTGTCTAGAAATTTAAACTATAATAACCAAATGTAGATCAGTAGTAGCAGGTAACTAAACCTGTCTAGAAATTCTAACTATAATAACCAAATGTACAGCAGTAGTAGCAGGTAACTAAACCTGTCTAGAAATTTTAACTATAATAACCAAATGTAGATCAGTAGTAGCAGGTAACTAAACCTGTCTAGAAATTCTAACTATAATAACCAAATGTAGATCAGTAGTAGCAGGTAACTAAACCTGTCTTGAAATTCTAACTATAATAACCAAATGTAGATCAGTAGTAGTAGGTAACTAAACCTGTCTAGAAATTCTAACTATAATAATACCAATTTTAGAAGTAGTTTTACTAAACTAATAGGTAAGTTAGTCTGTCTAGAAATTGTAATTATGTTGTCAAACATTAGAGAAGTAGTTATGATAAATGATACAGGTAAGATTGGAATTGTTACTTGTACAACGAGTTATGAAGCAAATCATTCTTTTTTGAGAACTTAAAGATAGAATTCTAGTGGGTCAGGTTATTGAAGAGTACCACAATAGTTATTGAAAGTATAACAGGTAAGTTTAAACTTTTTTTTATGGAGGTAGAGGGATTTGTGAATCTGAAGTTACATTACTTAGCTAGGTGATTTGAGACTAAAACAGTTGTGATAACATGTATACAGGTAAGTTACATTAAGCTTGAAACTGTTACTACAATAACAGTATTATATTAGTTGTGAAGACGTTTGATGCTTAAAACAATAATTGAACAAAGTATGATATACAAGTTAGCCTGTTTTGGAATTTTAAGTGTAGTGATGAAATATTAGTGTTTCAACAATTCAGTAGTTGTTGTTTCAGTTCGGGTAGTTTTGAATTTCCTAAGTATTTACACTGAGAACTGTCTGTTAAAAAATTAGAAACCCCATCATTTATTTGTTTTGTGGATTTCCCAGTATTTGATAATTAAACAAGTGGCAATATGTGTCTCATTTGACTATTACATCATTATACATTGTGTAAGCAGGCTGTTTGTTACCTCAGTTTTCATTAAGATGGGGAAGGTTGAGAATGTATCTGACTTTAAAAAAAAGAGGCATTACTGTTTGGACCTAATAAGCTGGAGCCTTAATAGTAAAAAACAATGAAACAGTGTAGGAAATCAAATACAATCATATCGTGAATTTGTACATTGTGGTAGTAATCTCGAAACAAATCTGCAAGCTGGGGAACTCTGAACAGAAAAAAAGTGCTCTGAAACAGAGATACACAGTAATTAGCAAGGGTTGTGAAGAACAGTAGGTGTTCAGTAGTATGATAATTGACAGATAATATCAACCTTGGACCAGGACTGCCTATTTCGATAAGAACAATGCACAGGAAACTGTCTGAAATTAATTTTGTCTTAGCTGTCAGCTGAAAGATATGCCTACATTGGTACAAAGACCATTTGGATTGGATTGTTGACCAACGGAAGTATATCATTTATTCAGATGAATTTTGATACATGCTATTCTGTACAGATGTGGTAATCAGAATTCATGACAGTTCCATGAAGCTCTAAGGTGTATTTTTATGGTAACAGCTGAATCTGTCTGAATAATTGCTTTACATCCTCTGGGATCAAATGTACTATCTTATGCTCCATTTATGCTTCAGAGTTATGGCATGGTTTATGATTGGTTTGCAGAACACAAGAAAGATTTCACTAGCAACCCCCAAACCCTAAATCTCAATCCATTTGAGAATCTGAGAGTCATACTGGGGCATGCATTTAAAGCACATTCTCTACTTTTATCCCTAAAGGATTTGGAGACAGTATTGCTTGATGAATGGGTGAAAATTGAAACGAGTAGATTCTCTGCCATGATGGATTCAGACTTAGATTAAATCATGTGGTGGTCCAACACACATGTAGAACAGGGTTTTTAATTTGTTTTTGGCCAGACTATGTAGTTTTGTTAAAAACAGTTGTTGCTGCAATATTGTTGCCATCTGGAGATATACACATATATATAAATATATACATATGTGTGTGTGTGTGTGTGTGTGTAATTTAGATTAAAACCAAATGTTTTGGTAGCATATTGTTGTTCATCTGTGTGTGTATGCTACTGTGTTTTAATAAGAGCCAGTTGTGGCTTAACACTTAGTGTGCCAAGCATATTCAGCCATAGGGCATTATAATTGTAACAGTCAATCTTGCTATATGGTGAAAAAGTAGCTAGCTACACAGATGGCAGGTGCTGCATACT